TGCAAAAGAACCAATAGATCTGTTTTGGAAGAAGTGCAGCCAGAGTGCACCTTGGAGGCCAAGATGGCTAAACTTAGTCTCTTATACTTTGGACATATTGTTTGGAAGGAACAGTCACTGTTGAAGGATGTCGTGCTGAGTAAGATGGAGGGTCAGAGAAAAAGAGGAAGACCCCCCAACAAGATGGATCGGCCAGGTGGCATCATTGATGGTGTCAAGTATGGCAGCGGTAGTGAGGTTGGCTCAGGATAGGACATTGTTTCATTCTGCTGTGCATGGGGTCGCTATGAGTTGGTTCTGACTCAATGGCACCTGACAACAAACAACAACAGAGCCAGCCCAGTGCAGGCCCCATCCCCAGTAAGGCTTCAGTCTTGGTCTTAGTCTTACAATATTGCTCTTTTTGATTTTTCCTGAACAGTATAAGCTGGGGAGTCTATGGCCTTTGCTCTTCATTTTCTTCCTAAATCTCCTGGTTTGATACTAGTTATAATGAATTGTACATCCAGCATTTTTTCCTTTTTATCTATGCCCTTGTTGGCGAATTGAGGTGGTCTGTATCTTCTCTCATACCATCTCAGGAAATGTTTCCCTCACTGTGTCTATTTTAACTGGGAAGGGTACAATATTCAGCTGCTACTTGGGTATTGGCATCTTACGGTCACATATGAAAGGGAAAACATGTAGACTGCTACTGTTAAGGCAGCATTTACCAGCATCTGAATAAATAACTGCATGACCAAATACTGTCAGCTCCATGAGCTTTTTATTTCCAATTATTGGTGAAAACTGGTGATATCACTGTAAATAATTTATTATTGTTTTTATGGGGGAAATTTACATATATATATATATATACACTTTATTTTTCCCTAATACAGAATTCCTATTGGTTTCTGCTTTCATATTCCATCACATGATTTTTATAATAAGAGATTTTAATAATATAGAGTTGTGAAGCTTTAAAATGAGGGTATGTTTTCTTTTCTTTCCTGTTTCATCCTAAATGTCTGTTTTAAAAGAGAAAGAAAGGGAAGGAAAGGATTATGACCAGGTTATAGTGACCCTATGGGACCGAACAGAACCTACTTTACAGTGTCCCCAAGGTTTTAAGCTTTACAGAAGCTGACTGCCAGATCTTTGTCCCAGAGAGCTACTGTTGGGTTTGAACTGCCTATAGCACTGTGAGATAAGCACTGGATTGCAAGGTTGGCTTGAACTGCAAGATCGGCAGTTCAAACTCACCGGCCATTCCTGTGAAACACTATACATGGTTGCTATAAGCCAAAACTGACTCAATGGCACTTAACAACAACAACTAAGCACTTAACCACTGCACATCCAGGGCTCAGGAAAACAGCTGATATTTAAATCTTTATTAAAAACTAAATCTTCCTAAAAATAGAGGAGGCAGAGAATTTGGGCCAAGGAAATTACTTCAAACGTACAAAGGAGGCGGTGTCCAGCTCTGCTCCTATATAAAAGCCTTCTTGGTGAGAGTTTGCAGTGTCAGGGCAGTGACATTATATATTGGCCAAGACTGTCACAAATATCAGTTAGTCATCTCAACTTCAAAAGGAAATTAATTATTTTTAGTAGATTCTCCCTTTGCTGAATTCATGTCCAGCCATTTCTACCAATTTTAGTTTATACTCCTTCCTCTCATGGTTGGAATAGAGAGTATGTTGAAGTTCCAACTTAATTTTGCAAAAGGTGCCAGTGCCCAACTCAGACAGTGAACGACTGTGTGCAGATCAGTACCTTTTAAGATCTGCCTTGCCATGACTTTTAAGAAACTTCAGATTTTGTCCACTTACTGAGTGCCTACTTTGTTCTAAGCACTAAGCTAGGAACTGTGTCTCTACAGCTAACTTGAAGTAGGAAAAAAGCAAACGTCTGAAGAATTTGATCCTTATGGACTATTTTATGATTCTTTGAGTTATAGTCAGCAACAGCATCTCATTTCAATATGGTATTTTTAAAATCACTTAGTTGTGGACATTTGCCTCAAGCGTTCAGTCTACTTATCTTGCATGAATCCATCTTTAGAAGAATATTGTGTTATAAACAAAGTTTGTTGTACAATTTTTCCCATATGCTAAAAACTAGGGTATTGTCATTGTTGTTACGTGTCCTCAGGTTGGTTCTGACTCATAGTGACCCTGTACAGGATTTTCAAGGACTGGCTGGTGAGTTTGAACTGCCGACCTTGGACTTTCTTATCCCACAGCATTTCAATATACATTCATTAACTTTCTGTTCCTAAAGTAATTTATACATCATATATTTATTCACCTATTATAGAAACCTATGAAAAAAAAGTGGCTTTGTTGTTAACTCAGAGTTTCTTGAGCCTGCTTAATAGCTTTGTTTTTTCAGCCATCCTTTTTTTTTTTTTTTTAATATAATACAAGTGAATGTGAAGCTAGATGATTCAATTTTATCTTTACAGATTCTTACACGAGTTAGCCCTGATCCCCAATTTTGCTGAACGTGCCCAGTGTATAATCTTCAGATCTGTCTTTTCTGAGGGTATCACTTCCTTGCACCGAAAGGTAGACATCATAACACGAGCTTCTAAGGTAGGTTTGTTGTTTAATGTAAAAGATAGTCTTGCACTTATTGGGGGTAAAGGAGGAAGTAGGGTCCCTCTACAAAGCCTTTTGAACGTAAGCTTGTGTGTTTTTCTCATTTTGAGTGTGATGATTCTCTTGCCCGAATGTGAGAATGAGTTAGTGTGTGAGAGAATGAGAGAGAGAAACGGAGATGAGGGAGACAGAAATTGAGAAAAAGAAGAAGGAAAAATGTCATTTTAAGAGCTTTCTTCTTAAGTATTCCAGACACTTACCAGTGTACATTCTGGCCTTTTAAAACCAGTCCAAATTGTCTAGCTTGTTTTCTGGGTTGGAAGAGATTTTGCATTAGACCCATGTCTACATGGCAAAATAAATGATTCTAGGGAACTGATGAATGAAATATTGGTAATGAATAATTGGCAAGTAAAGTGTTGCTGTCTCTATCTACCACACTGGCATTTATTATGAAGTTAAATTTTCCCCCTAAAATGTTGTGGTATTTAGTTACTTTTCTGGGGACTTGTTTTTGTTATTGTTGTTGTTGGGGGTTTGGGTTTTTGTTATGTTTTTGCATCTAAGAGAGTAGTGATTTAAATAAAGAAATCATAAATATTACCAAATTCAGTAAATGCCCCGTCACAGTGCCCTGAAAGAGAAGAACAGCAGTTTGCCTAGAGCTGAACTTTGCTTTCTTTCTTTACCCTGAAATCAAAGAAAATGAAATCAACCAAAACCATAGGGAAGGTTAGGTGTGGGGAGAATTGCTTTTTGCAAATAATGCGCTTGGAACAAAAAAAGAGAGAGAAAGCAAATGAGAATGGGAACTGAAGAAAACTCTAAGCAGCTTGAAACTGTAAAACTTAATAGACATATCAGCAAACACTTAATAAACACAGCCTGTGGCCTTTAAAATATGTTATCATAGTTCTTGCCTAAGGATCATACCAGTGAGAAGGAAGCACTAGCTTACTATTAACCTTATCTTACATCTAACTTTTTGTACAGATATATAATCCAAAAAAATTCTTAAATGACACTAAACTGCTTTCTACTTGGAAGTCATTAAAGTTCAGTTAAGGCTAATTGAACAGCTCCTTTCTAAGAAGAAAAAGGAAAAAAAGCCTTATAAATATTTTTAAATAACTAATTTTTTAAGAGTTGTCTCTCATAGAGGTTTAAATTTTGAAATTTCATTCTCCATATTAAAACTTGTACTGTTTCAAATTAATTCATTTATTGGGTAGAAAAGAATGCCTGTTAGTATATTTTTAAGACAATTGTTGTTGTTGTTGTTATGTGCCGTGGAGTCGGTTCTGACTCATAGCAACCCTGTACAGGGTTTCCGAGGCTGTAAATCTTTACGGGAGCAGAAAGCCTCATCTTTCTCCCGCGGAACAGCTGGTAGTTTCGAACCGCTGACCCTTGGTAAAGTGTATTTTCCATTTCACCAACTATTAATCCTACTAGTGTAAACCCTGCTTCAGGCTCTGGGCACTCAGCAAACATTTGTTGTTGAATGAACTTAGGTACATTGTCATGTGAAATCCATTGCAAATAACTGATATTTGCTGTCACAGGGTTTGCTGCACATGAAGAGTGTAAAGGATATTTTAGCTCTTATTTTGGCTTTTGGAAATTACATGAATGGAGGAAACAGGACTCGGGGACAAGCAGATGGCTATAGCTTAGAAATTCTACCTAAACTCAAGGATGTCAAAAGTCGGGTTAAGTATTTATTTATTTTTCATAATAAATGCTACTGATCTATCCTTATGTTTTTTCTATACCTTTAATTAAAAACAAAAAAGCAAAATCTCTAAATTGTTCATTCACAGGCATTTATTTTAGAGCACACATTGTTTTCTTTCTTTTGGTTTCTGAATAAAGGTAGAGTTTTCCTTTTAGCTCTTATCTTCCTTGGCAAAATCTCGCTCTTCATTTGCTCTCAAATACACAATTTGGTGTTGAGCTGCTGCTACAAGGAGTGCAGAGAATAGATAGCAGATGATGTGAGTCATAATGCAAAGCTTCGGTCGATTAGAATTTAGCACGGACTACTTGTAATTTACTTATTCTTGAGTGGCAGAGCAATGTTGAATCACCAGTTGAGCTGAGCATTTGAATTATTCTTTTGCCCACAAAACAATTGGACTGGGGTCTACTGTCAAAGTCTCTGAGCCTGATTATCATTTGGCTCCACACCCCTGCAGAGCTACTTCTTTAGAAACAACCAGCCCATATCTAGGCGTCCCATGGGGGCCAGGGAAAGGAAAGAAGGGGAAACACACAGGCAAATTAGAATTAGACCCATGTGAACAAGACACAAAGGCTGTCTTGTGGGAGGGCCTGCTCGCCCCTGGCCTCCCAGGGTCATAAAGTGGCATGGTGTTCCTTTTAAGCTGCCCTGATTTTTTTTCACGCCATTAAGAACACACATTTTTTTGAAAGGTGGGAAGGGAGGGATGTTTTTCTGTTCTAGTCCCTGGTTCCCTTTAGCATTCCCTGCCCCCTCCTGTCTTGGCTTTATACCAAAAAAATATTAGGGGCCCATTTTTGTTTGTTTGTTTTAGACACTCCCTCCAAGGTCTTACAGATTATCTGTTTGTTTTTCTTTTCCACAGAGGGGGTAGTAGAGTGTCACTTCTTTGTATAGATAGCATTAAAAAAATGGATAGGACAAGAAGAAAGGAAGAAAATCTTGCATAGTCTCAAGCAGAATTACAAAGAAATATCACTTTAGAAGTATTTGATCACAAATTGAGATTTCAACTCTCAACTATATAAACTGCCTATGTGAAGGATTTTATATAGCACACAAATAATTTTCCACTGTTTCTCTTCTAAACCTAGGATACTGGGATTAATCTCGTGGACTATGTCGTGAAGTATTACCTGCGTTACTATGACCAGGTAAGGTACAGCATTTTGAGTAAAACAACACTAAAAGGATTTCAACTGTTACACGTTGTTGGCATTCACAGGGTAAATGATGGATAGGTGAATGGATGAATTTCAAGTCCAACATAGAATCTGAGAGCTGTCCAACCTCATTTGTTTACAGATGAAAACATTAAAGCCAAGAGGTTTGGTTGATGCTTGAAAAGGGAAGCATTATTTAATAGATCAGCTCTGTTTGATCAATCCACTATATAATGCTGCTTCATACAGACCCCAATTTACCTCAAAGCCTTACAACCACATTGTGAAGTTCTTTATGAAATTTAGACTCATTCAGTAATCAGTTATCATTGAAACTAGATTCTGGGATGTAGAACAGAATTTAGGGAAGCTATGCTGTAGTCCCTGGTGGTGCAATGAGCACTTTTATTTTATCAGTAATGTTCATCTGTGAATAAGTTCAGGACATGGAATTTGAAATCTACCTTCTCTGCTTAGATAACACTTGCAATTAGAAACAGTAGTTTCTGTGAGAATATACCGGAACACACTTTTCTGTGTTTTACTGCTTCTCATTAAATTCAGACGAGAAGTCCTAACTTTGAGAAGACAGAGGTTCTGTTGTAGTGAGAAGTATAGCAATCAATATGAATAGAAGCAGTCCATAGGAAAATGTTGTTAGGATTCTTTAACTATCCATGTAAGCAGAGTTCTGTCTAGGACTGAGGGGAAAAAAGCAAAGATGTAATGACTTTGTTTTTGAAAGGCCTGCAATTATATCCTGAAGACAAGCTGAACACTTGTGAAAAACAATTGAGAAACTTTAATTTTCTCCTACCTCTTGGTAGAATTATCTAAAATTTCTCAGTGTATCTGCAACCAGGTTTATAATTATCCCACCTCTCCGCAAATTTCTTCTCTGATTTGATTAAGGATATCATAATTTTTGGTCATTCAGGCATGATGCCTTATGGTCCTGTTTTTAAAAAAAAATGACACCAAGCTACAAAAAATGAACCAACCATCCCTCCCACAGTCCTCTGGGCTGGGGCTAATAATTCATTGCAATGGCCACACAGAAATCAGATACCATACTCACAGTTACGGGATTTATTAGGGAAATTTACAGGTTACAATTCAGGGTCAGAAATGTTCAGAGCACACGTCTTCCAGTGAGGACAACCTTTTCAGCTGTGCTTACAGACAGGCCCCTCTCTGCTTTGCCAAAGTTACAAAGCTCTCTCAGGGATGCTGACCAATGCCCACAGGGCACATCACTCCACCATAATCTTCAGCCAGAAAGCACTGGGCCAGTTAACCTTTGTTGTCCTTAGGTAGTGTCGAGTCAGTTCTGACTCAGAGCAACTCTGTGCACAACAGAACAAAATGCTGCCTCGTCCTACCCATCCTCAAAATTGTTACGCTTGAGCCCATTGCTGCAGCCACTCATCTCATTTGGGATCTAGCTTTTTTTCATGGATTTCTCCTTTTTACCAAGCATAATATCCTTCTCCAGGAACTGATCCCTCCTGATAATATGTTCAAAGACTGAGAGACAAAGTCTCATCATCTTGGGTTCTAAGGAGCACCCTGGCTGTACTTCTTCCAGCGCAGATCTGTTTGTTGTTCTGAAAGTCTGTGGTACTTTTCATAGTCTTCTGTAACACTGTAACCCAAATGCCTTGATTCTTCTACCCTCTTCCTTATTCATTGTCCAACTTTCATCTGCATATGAGACTATTGAAAATACCATGGCTCCAGTCAGGCATACGTTAGTCCTCAAACTGATATATTTGCTTTTGAACCCTTTAAAGAGGTCTGGTGCAGCAGAACCTTGCTCCCCCAATTAAGCACCTGGAGGCACCCCACTCTGCAAGCAGGTCTTCTGCCCAAAGTCATTCAACTTTACTTGCTCCATGAGCTGGGAAGCACAACACTCTGTCTGGTGCTCTGGTTCTTGATTCTGTTGCTCTTCTGCCATCCCTTTGATGTAGCTGCTTTCTAGCCTTGGGTTGAGAAGGTTCAACATGCATGGATCCTGGCTCTTCTTCTTTGATGGCCATGTTTCTGAGATGGCTCCTCTGATACCCATTAAGACTTCCAGGTTTTATAGTTACAGTTAACCTTGTTAACTATTGACAACTGAATCATATAATGCTGTCAACATTTGTTTCTACTTTCACTTAAGCAGGCCCATCAGGGCAAAAATGGTGGTGGGAGTTTACAAAAACTATGTCTAGAAGTGACATTAATTCACCAGAGTTCTCATTTGGCTTCTTTTTGTCCTTTAACACCAGTTGTTCTGGTGTCCTTCCCCTTTTTCCAAGCCTTATTGGCCCAGTTTGTTCCGACTTTAAGATAGCCCACATTTAGAATGGCAATATGCTGTCAGGCCACCTTCACACCTCAAGTTACTCACCATTCTACACTCTGTGTAGAATGTCTGTTTACTCTTTGTGTGTGTAGTTCTGATCGTATCACTTTCTCACTCAAAAACAGAAAAGGCTCCCTATTTTCAAGTGAACTGAGACTCTGGCCAATTTAATTCCAGTCTTTTGTACTCCTGCTTTATTATTTAACCTCTACCCATATTCTAGAAGCCCTGGTAGCATAGTGGATTACCTGTTGGATTGCTAACCCACAAGGCAACAATTTGAATCCACCAGCTGTTTTGCAGAAGAAAGATGAGGCTTTCTACTTCCAAACAGATTTACAGCCTTGGCAATCCTATACTGAGTTGCTATGAGTTGGAACTGACCTGACTGCACACAACCACCACTACCACCACCAGCTGTGTAGTTTAGGATCTAACTTAAGTCTTAATGTTTTCCAAACATACCCTGTGCTTCCCTTTTTAATGTGCTTTTACTTCTGATGTTCTCCTTCCCTGGGACTATCCTTACCTCTAGTCTTTTTCTGAGAGTTATCTTTTCTCTTATTAAGTCTCTTTGAAAATAATAAGATGCTTATTGACATACCACTCTTGTTGTTGTTAGGTGCTGTCAAGTCAATTCCAGCTCACAACCACCCTGTGGACAGAACAAAACGCTCCCCAGTCCTAGTTCAGCCTCACAGTCATTGGTCTGTTTGGGTCCATTGTTGCAGTCACTCTCGTCTCACTGAGAGCCTTTCTCCATTCTATTTACTCTGCTAAGCATGATGTCCTTCTCTAGGGACTTGTCCTTTCTGATGACTTGTCCAAACTATGTGAGTGTAGTATCATCATCCTTGCTTCTAAGGAGCATTCTGGCTGTTTTTCCAAGAATGATGTTATTTTTTCTGGCAGCCCAGAAAAAATACTCTTTGCTACTCTTTGCTAATCAGCATGGTTAGGTTCCAAAGATCAGGTCATTATGTGAAACTTGCTATTGTGTAAAAATAAAGGATAACAACATCAGATCACAAATAAGGGGTGATGGAGTCCTGGTGTGGCACTGTGGGTTAATGTGTCAGACCACAAAACTGTTTGAACTATAAGATCGGCAGTTCAAGCTCACCAGCTGTTCCTAGGAAACCCTATACAAGGTCACTATGGGTCGGAACTGACTCGACAGCACTTCACAACAACAACAATAACACTATTACATAACTGTCAAATCACATTTACATAACTGCCAGATCACTGAGGATCATGGTCTAGCCAAGTTGACACAGAACCTTAACCATATCAGCTAGCATTACTCTCACCTCATACCGGTTCATTCGTTATTACCGGAAGTACATCACTAATGTGCAAAATAACCATATAGTCATTTGCTTACTTTTGTCATAGACATGAAATGTCAAATACCAAGATAATCAAGAAGTGAGACTTTAGTAAGTGCTACTGAGTCAGTTCCAATCATTAGCAACTCTAATGAATTTTCAAGGGTTGACTTAGTGGGTTTGAACAATTGACCTTGCAGTTAGTAGTCCAGTGTTTATCCTATAGCACCACACACACTAGGACTCCAAGTAAGCAGTAGGTATATGTATGTTGTTATTGTCAAGTGCTGTTGGGTTCCAACCCATACTATTTCTGAGAAGCAGCTGGTGAGTTTGAATTGTCAACCTTGTGGCTCAAACCGACCTTGCAGTCCAGCACATTAAACCACAGTGCCACACCAAGACTCCACGTATATGTATATGTATGCATCTCTAAATAGATAGATAGATAGATAGATAGATAGATAGATAGATAGATAGATAGATAGATAGATTTAAACAGAAACATTATATTTAAACAGAAAAATAGACATATATGGAGAAATATACATAATTTTGATGGAGAATCATAAAAAGAAAGACTTAAAAAAGGAGAGTGATATATTCTTTGGTGGAAATACTAATAATTGAAAACACTCAGTTATTTCTAAATATATATTTAATATTGCCCTAGTCAAAATTCCAGTTGATTTTTGTACATTGGCAGAATGATTCTAAATATTATATCCAAAAATATCTGGATAGACTTGCATGGGAATTTAAAAATAATAATGAGTAGAATCTCATATGTTAATTTATTTCATTTTATGATAAAACTGCATAATAATTAAAATTATGTAATGACAGAAGAACAGATAAAAACAAAACAAAACTCAGTGGTGCCAAGTAGAAACCTAGAAATGGATCAAAGCATGAAATAAAAGAGAAATTTCAAAAAAGTGGGAAGAGAAAGAAATTATCTCCTCTGTCTTATTCCAGAAACTAAAGTTAAGTTTTGAATAACAAATGAATTAAAAGTAGAAACAAGCAAAAATTGAAATAAAAGACATGCAAAAAAATTAGGTAGATATTCTTTTACGCTAAGTCAGAAACCATTAAAGGAAATATTAATAACTTTGAATGCATAAAGTAAAAATAAATGTTGTTGTTAAGTGCTGTCGAGTCAATTCTGACCCATTGCGACCCTGTATAGGGTTTTTGGGGAACAAATGTTAGTAGCTGATTAAAAGTTTAAAAACGGCAACAAAACTTCAATATCTCAGAAATTACGCATATAAAAATAAATTATATATAGCATGCTGGAGAAAAACTTTGCAGCATAATATGTAAAGAGCTCTTCAAACCAACAAAAAGAAAAAGCCTATCTCTTCTCATGAGGGGGTAGAAAAAAATGCAACTTACATAAGACATGCTGTTGTTTTTAAGGGCTGTCTAGTTGGTTCAGAGTATAGGAACCCTGTATAGGATTTCTAAGACTTTTAAATCTTTGCAGGAACAGAAAGCCTCATCTTTCTCCTGTGGAGCAGCTGGTGAGCTGGAACCACTGAACTTGTGGTTCACAGTCCAGTGCTTATCGTATGGAGCCACCTAGAAGATATAAATAGCCAGTTAGGTTACGTAGTAAAATCAAATATGCAAATATGATGAAACACCATATTTTTCTTATTAAATCAACAAAGATTTTTTGTCATTATTATTTTTTTTTAATAATAAAACCCTGAATTGCCAAGATAAAGAGAAATCGAAATCTAGATTAGTCAAATTTTTCTCAGACCATCATGTACAATTGACCAGGTTATGCACTGTTTCAAGTGTATAGGTCAAATAGGATTCATATCCAGCCTTTCCTTGACTCACCAAACTCTAACCCTGTAAAGAGCACTTGTTTTAAAAATTCCCAAACGATGTCATTTATTTGCCATTTGGTGTGCCCAAGGAGATGTTCTTACCTACAGGGAATACATTTTCCTAATTCATACAAAAGTGTTATATAGGCTAAGAAAGAGCTCTGGTAGCGTAGTGGTTACGAATCGGGCTGTGAACTGTAATGTCAGCAGTTCGAAACTACCAGCAGTTCTGTGGGAGAAAGATGATGCTTTCTGCTCCCATAAAGAGTTACAGCCTCGGAAACCATGTACAGGGTCGCTATGAGTCGGAACCGACTCCACGGCACTTAACAACAACAACAACAACAGGCTAAGATTTGTGACCTTTCCCTATCAAAAGCCATGGAAATAAGTAAAGCATAGGGACTATATAAGATTTGTATCACTTACTTTATTGTAATTTATAATGGGCAACTTATTGAAGAGGATCTAAATGTCCAAGGGTAGAGAGAGTTAAGAGCAAGTAAATGATAGTGGTGGTGGTGTGCCACTGAGTCAGTTCCAACTCATGGTGAGCCTGCATAAGGTTTGCCAGACTGTAATTCTTTATGGGAGCAGAAAGACTCTTCTTTCTCCCACAGAGTGACTAGTAGATTTGAATTGACCCTGTAGGTAACAGCTCAGCTCATAATCCACTGTGCTACCAGGGATCCTTAGTAAAGGATGGCAAAGCCATACAATGGAAAGATGTGTTGCTATGGGAAATATGTAGCAGAAAATTTAGTGGCATTATAAAGTATTCTTGAACTGCACATGCATGTAAGTACAATATGTAACTATAGATACTAACACAGAAACATCTGGAAAGGTATATGTTAAAATGTTTGAGTATTTCTGGGTGATAGGATCATAAGAGATTTTCACTTACACGTTTGTTCAATGATATAGTGTACTAAACATGTATCACCTCTGTAAAAGGGAAAATACATATAATGAAAAATAATTTAGTCATACTGCAAGTCCAATATTACATGGTACCTCTTCCATAAAGTCTTTACTCATTTCCTCATCTTCTACTCATATAAAGCCAGGGACACTTTGGGCTTCTTACTCTGCATTGTACGTAGTTGTCTATGAGCAATTGTCTGTTATTCTGACATTGCTCCATTAATCCAGAATTCATTGTTGTCTCTTTTTAGTGTCTATAAAGTAGATGCCAATAAACACTTGGTGAACTGAATCCCTTGTAAATATCCACAAGTGTGTAATCAGTGGCCTCTAAAACGAAGTGGTATGAGGAGTAGTAGGGAGAGTTCTTTTCTGCTAGAGTTGTAAAAGCATGTGGAGCTTCAGGCAATGAAGAAATGACAAGAGTATATGTGCATACTTTGAGCTCTGATAGAGGTTCCAGTGGGATAGAATTATCCCAAAGAATCTTGGGAAGTGAAGTTTCTGGTCCTAACTTGGCATTTGCAGATTTGCCTGGTAGTGTCAGCCTCAACCAAGTCAAATGCATTGAGTAAGAAGCTGGAATTTGCCTGTGAAAAATGACGCTTGCAGAAGAGAGATAACCCCAGTGGACTCAACTTCACGTAGGAAAATCCTGCAATGGGAATATTTTCATACCTGGGATGTCCCAGTCTGGGAAAAATACAAAGTCTACATTTCTGTGGTGCTCTCTTGGCTTTTGCTGTGCAAAATTCATTTCACTCAGCAAGAGTGTAGAAATATATGATTTATTAAACCATCCCCTCCTTCTAGGAGCATAAGTGATGATTTTCGTGGTTAGTGATGATGAACAATTAGCTGAAGAAAGGTGGCTTCTGCTCCAAGCTGCCTTCCACTCAGCGCAGGATTTTGGGTCCAAATCTAACTTTGCAAAGTTTAAAGAAGCCGCCTAAGCCCTACCGTTTGAACACTAATTGAGCAGCTTTCACAGGAGAAAGCTGCAACCAGGCTGACTTGCTCAGTAGTATTTTTTAGATTAAAAAACAAAAAAACCCGAAACCAAGACTGAGTCTGATAAAAAAAATCTGGAAAATATGAGGCGATGACACTTGAGTCCTGTAATATTGATTACCTTGGAGCTTTGTGTTAAAGCAGCATAGATGTCGTTCTAACTTGGCACTCAGACTGGAGTGCTTCTTTCATTGTTTTTAAATAAGTATAGGAAGATGAGGGGAAAAAAAATGATCCTGGAAAATATTGTGCTCTAGTAAAACAAAGAAGGAGCTCTGATAGCACAGTGGTTACGAGTCGGGCTGCTAACCTCAAGGTCAGCAGTTTGAAACTATCAGCCATTCCATGGGAGAAAGATGAGGCTTTCTGCTCCTGTAAAGATTTACAGCCTCAGTAACCCTGTGCAGGGTCACTGTGAGTCGGAACCAACTCCACGGCACATAACCACCACCACCACCACCAGTAGAACAATGAAAAGCCCCTCCTCCTAACAGTACAAGTGAAGTTAATGTTCTTAAAGGAAGTGGGGGAAGGGCTCAAGGAATTTCTAAGACCAAGAAATCGTATAGTAAATTTGATGCCTTCTGCTAAAGGCACACGCTTCCTTGAACAGCATTTTGTAGCGCTCAGTAATGGGGCTGACCAACTAAAAACAAAGTTTATTCATATGCTAGACATTGTACACCGTACCAAGAACATGATGCAGTTCCTGCCTTCTAGGTGTGCCTAGTGCAGTGGGAGGACCTAGAAGCTAACCAGGCTACTGTTAAATATATGGTGATAAGCACTGTGATAATGGTAATTACCAGGGGTATCTTGGAAAACCTCAAGTGCTGATATTAAGGGAAATCTTTGAGGAAGTGACACTGTTTTGGGATTTGAAGCATGTAGCTTAGTGGTTTGGGGCTGCTAACCTCAAGATCAGCAGTGAGAATCTACCAGCTGTTCCACTGGAGGAAGATGAGGCTTTCTGCTCCTGTAAAGATTCACAGGCTCAGAAACCCTATGCAGGGTCACTATGAGTTGGAACCCACTCCATGGCATACCACCACCACCACCATGTGAATAGAAGGTGTGTGGAGAGTCTGGGGAAGAGTTGGCAAGGGACAGTTTTGCCAAGGTCTGAAGGCAAGAGTTGGTGTCCTCTTCTGTTATTTAACGAAAGAGTTGAAGGGAAGGCACTAGAGATAGAGAGGAGGTGGAAGTAAGACTGGAGAGGTAAACAGAGACCAAATCCCAAAGTAACTTGTAAAGCAATTTCAGAGTTTGGAATTAGTCCTAATGGCAGTAGGAAAGACGGGATGTGAAGGAATGCTGGCAAAGTAGCCTGAGTAGAGAGATGAATAACCGAAGACTGCCTGAAATATGCAAGACACAAAGCTTATATTAAACAACTCAAGGATAAAGCAGCTAACTGGAAAAGACGTTTGAGGCTAGCTTACCTTTCTCAGTGTGCCAGAAGATTTTCTCCTTCAAGATGTTCCTCAGCTAAGATCCTCTATTAGGTATAGCTGTGGAGCTTGTCAAAACTATGCCTAACCGTGCCCTAAGTAAATGTCTTATAAAACACCATTTGGACAAATTACAAATGTATGAGGAATGTAATCATATGTGCACATAACACAAAGCTGTAAGCTGTAGAAGGTGGGTAGAGGTGTGAGGGTGGGTGATTGCATCTTTAGTTGTGTGCCTTCTTACCCAGAACCTTTCAACTCACACCCATTGGCGTATCCCAAAGATGACTTCTCTAATTGCTAGCATGTGAAATGCAAACAGGAACTTTAAGTATAAGTACTTTCATGTGTTCCCCCTATGCCATTTTCCATGGGAGTATAGTGTCCAAGATTCAGACATACCTGACAATTTTCTCTTTAATTCATAAAGCAAAATAGATTGTAGCTCATGCCATAGGCAACTTCCATGTCAACAGACCCAAAAGAATATTGTGAAATGCTAGAAAGAGCTTTCAAGTAACCAATCCACATCTAGGAACGGAAGAGGAATGTTATGATTCTCATTCAACGATCCATTGAAGATTATGTGTGTGTATGTGCATGTGTGTACATGCCTGATGCTTTGCAATGTCAACAGAACGTGATGATTAAGAAGTATAATGTACTTTTGTTTACCATATCTTTTAGGAAGCAGGGACTGAAAAGAGTATTTTCCCCTTGCCTGAGCCACAAGATTTCTTTCTGGCCTCCCAAGTCAAATTTGATGACCTTATAAAAGATCTGAGGAAACTGAAGAGACAATTAGAAGGTAACCTGACCTTTTCCATTATTGTGATAATAGCTAAGATTATTTTTTGGGAAAAAACAAACCGTTTAAGTAAATTGTTTACAACTGTCTCATGGTTGGTGCAGAGCTCCTTTAGTGTACACCTCAGCCTTCATGAAACTTTCCATCTCTGTAGAACGTTGGGGGACACTGTACTTATGCCCCTCTCTTTTTTCAGTGTTTACCAGGTGCTTGATAGATCTACCTACATTTACTCACCAAATAAAAAACCTAGTTGATTCTAACTCACAGCAAACCCGTGTGTTACAGAGTAGAACTGAGCTCCAGGTAGTTTGCTTGGTTGTAATCTTTGTGCAAGCAGGTCATCAGCTTTTCTTCTGAGACGCCTCAAAGGGGGTTCAAAAAGCCAATCTTTCAACTAGTGGTGGTGGTGGTGAGCCATTGAGTTGTTTCCTACTCATGGCGACCCTGTATACCATGGATGGGGAATGTCCATCCCCAGGCAGTATAAGGGCCACAAAATCACTTGGTCTGGCCCTGCCAAGGCAACCACAGGTCCAGCCATCACATTGTTGTTGTTGTTAAGTGCCGTCGAGTCGGATCCGACCCATAGCGACCCTGTACAGGGTTTCCGAGGCTGTAAATCTTTACGGGAGCAGAATGCCTCATCTTTCTCCCGCGGAGCGGCTGGTAGTTTCGAACTGCTGGCCTTAAGGTTCGCAGCCCGATTCGTAACCACTACGCTACCAGAGCTCCTTAGCCATCACATTAGGGGTGAGTTAATTAAATGTTGACCAAATATAGCAGGCAAATTTTTCAGTTGATCATTTTTTATGGCCCATGAATGATGTGATAAATGTTGGCAGAAAAAAGGTTCCCCACTCATACTGTGTAGTGTTTCCAAGGCTGTAAATCTTTATGAAAACACCAAGTGTCATCTTTCTCCTTTTCAATTGGTAGAACAGCACAAGCTAGTTGCCACAGCCAGGAACCTGTGTGTGTTGGCCCACATTTATTAGTAATAATTTTATTAACAATAGTAGCAGAAATTATTTATTGAAAGCATATTGTGTTTCTAGACTTGTCTCATATCATTCTTATAACAACTCTAAGAGGTCAAAACTGTATTAAGTCCATGCCACAGATGTAGAAAATGAAGCTTAAATAAGTTCTGGTTAGACAGTCAAGAGACCAGGCTGGGATTTGAACCCAGCTGGCTTTAATCAGACATACCCGATTAGAACAAATGTATGTTCTTAGTTTGCTATGCTGCCTCATCTCTCTCTCTGCCTCTCTCTCTCTCTCTCTTTCTCTTACACACACACACCTCTACATTTGATTTATATTTGAGTCTAATAATGATGGTAAGACCCACAGTAAAACATTCTCTTTTAATTTACATTTTTAATTATTCAAGACAAAATGCTGAAATCCCCTTTTTGGCTTTTTTAAAAGGCAAAAATATGCCTTGCTTTGGCAGGAATTTTCCTTTGGCATTTCGAGAGTCTTGTGTTTTCACTGTGGAGACATCTCCTTGTCCAAGAATATAAATACTTGCCTTGAAGTCTGTATCACTCCAGTTGAAGGGCTCTATGGAGGATTTAGGGAGCGTGTTAATGTGGAAATGAAGCCCACAGTGCCAAAAGGAGCGTTTGAGGAAATGAAGAGCTTCAACCAGGAATATTTTTACACTAAGACATAAAATAAACATTTAAAAAAATGTTTATTGTAAAAGAGTGCTCAGAAACCTAAGCCTTAGACCAAGAACAGCTTAGAAATGGAAGTAAAGTGGAAAAGATCTGCTCCCAGTGGCAGAGAGAGCCATTTATTCTTACTTTGGGCATAAAACTTGCTTAAATAAGGATAGTGGTTACAAGTGAATATTTTTACCTTGTAAATTATTTTTAAAGGAACATGTGGTTTTTGGTTTTTTTCTTCTTTTTCCCCTTTTTCTTCCTGCTAGTTGATGTGGTTGAGAGAGTAACTTCAACCAAATAGATGGCTCCATTTAGGAATATGATATATGTGAACTTGTGGTCATTTTATTCCCTCTCTTAAAGAACTGACAGTTTTATCTTTGCCTAAGATGAAGCTACTGATTCCTATTGTAAAACAGCAGAGTAAGCCATCCTGTAGCAGTTTTTTCTCTCCCTCACCAGCAGCAAAATGAGGGCCCAGGCCAATTCTCAGGACAGTTGAAGGGTCAGCAGTGACAAGGAAGAACTTTGCTTGTTTACTCCGCAGGCGTCCTGAACGCCCAACCCTTCTCATCTCTTGGCCCTTGTGAAACCCTTGGCCTGCCCTCTCCATAGTCTTAAGCACAGAAACCTGATCTCTGTTTGATCGGTCCTCTTTTCCAGCTCTCCTCCTTAGGGCTGACTTTTTCAGGCACCAGGTCTCAGCCACCTCCCCTTGATAGCTGGTGAGTTAGGGGATAACTAGAATGAGATTAAAACCTGGGCACCATCAAGTTGACTCCATATGTGTCAGAACTGTGCTCCATAGGGTTGTCAGTGGCTGAGTTTTGGAAGTATATCCCCAGGCCTTTCTTCCTTGGTTCCTCTGGGTGGACGCAAACCTTTCAGTTAGCAGTCAAGCACGTTAACTGGTAGAACCACCCAGGGACTCAAGCTGGTGGCTTTTGAATTCATTCCAACTCATGGTGATTACGTGTTTGTCAGAGTAGAACTGCCTGCCAAGGATTTTCAGTATCTGATTTTTTTTCAGAAGCTGAAGGCCTTTCTTCAAAGACACCTCTGGGTACACCTGAACATTTAGCCTATTGCTTAGTAGTCAAGTTTCTGAACCACTTGTCCCACCCAGGGATTCCAGGAAGGCAGTAAGATGAGAAGAGCATGGAAACAGAGCTTTCCTTAAAACTCCTTACTTTGAGTCTCTAAGATGTCCTTCGGATCTTAGTACTCAATTGACACTTTCTTCAGTCAGTTTTAAGGAAATGCAAGAACTCTTGACACTGGTGGGAAGGAAAAAAAAAAAAATGTTTCAGTTACTTTTTCCTCTTTGTACTGGACTTCACCAAAAGGTTTGAAGTACCACAAAAGCGATTGAATAGCTCATGACTCCCCTCCCACACACATTGACTATTTACACAAAAATGCCCTGCTAATCTTTAGAGTTGCCAATGTTTTTAACACATGAAAGGTACCCAGTAAATATTTAAAGAAAATACAGTCCATTGGTTCGCTAATGAATTTCTTTTTCTTCTAAATACCATCTGGCAAGATGACCAGATTTGCGGGGCGGTTTATTTCATCTAATGTTCTCATTCAGGTTTAACCCCCTTTTCCATCAGGCTTTGGTCTGAGCTTAGATTGCATGTTTCATTGAAGAGGACATAATTTTCACACATACAGCAGAGATTTGATGAGGTTCTGAGGTTTATTGTAGTCATTAAAATGCTGTGGCTGCTGGCAAAATCCCAGAAAATGTCTAAAGCTAAACCAGATGTGATTAGCAAATTTCAAGAAGTATCAGGCCTCACTTCTCCAGACAGGCACAGCTTTTTAGAAAAAAGTTATTTTGAATCATGTTAACCACAAATTAACACCAAGTTATTTTGAATCATGTTAACCATTCACATAACAGGATGTGGATTAGACTGTGGTATTGATCATACAAGGATCATCGATAGGTGTGGAATTGGTAATATACATCTTTCAGGAAGACAACAATTTTGAGTAGCATTTTCATACTGGTAAACTAGCAAGGAAATGACAGTATCAACTACAATTTGAGTGATTATTATTTATCAGGGTCTTTATGTTTCCCAGTTCTTGTAATTCTCATAATGACCCTGTGAAACAGACATTCTATTATCTTTCATAAGATGAGGAAACTGAAGTTTATGATGTTCAAGTAATGTGCCAAGATTTCAAAGGTGGTTGTTGATGTCGTTAAGTACTTACCATTGTGTTGGTTCCAACACGTAACATGTGGTTTCTAAGGAATGACTGGTAGGTTTGAACCACCAACCTTGTGGTTAGCAATCCAAAGCTTATCCTACAGTGCCACACCAGGACTCCCCCAGTTTTTATTATTGTTAAGTGTCATTTAGTTGGTTCCAACTCATATCAGCCCTGTATAGGATTTCCAAGGAGTGGTTGGTGGATTTGGACCTCTGACCTTGCATTTCATTTGATAGTCTACTGCTTATCCTATAGTGTCACACCAGGACGACCTAGTCAAATTTTGAAATTATATGATTCTATCAACACCATAACATATCCTGATTCTGGCCTAAGAGCCTTCATATCTGATTGAAGATCAAAATAGAAAGACATGTAATCCAAGTGTAGTAGTTTTCCTGAACATGTACACACACACTCCTAGTACCACATATGTAGAAACTCAGAAAGAAACTCAGGAGAGAACTTATTTTTATTGGGGATAAGGCAGAGTATTGTATAGGATTAAGAACCTGGACTTTAGAATCAGATGTATTTTTTTTAATGATTTGATGAGTAAAGATCTAAAGTATTCATTTCTCATCTGTAAAATGGAACAATTACCGTATCTACCTTGTGTGTGGGGGGGGGAGGGGGGGAAATGAACACATGGTTTCTTAATAAGGGAAGCTCCAATTAAGCTGATTAGAAGTATTCAGTTTTACTAGAAAACACATAATTTGTAGAATCAGGCCCATGTTATTGAGGGGCCAGCTGGTTGTATTTTAGAGTATTTTATTCACAGAGCACTTGTGCTATTTTCTCTTCTTTGTGAAGCCAGAACCAAATTCTTGGTGCCTGGGAACATGTTCCGTATTTTATTTTTATTGACCCTAAATTAGTTAATAATTTATATATTCTTGATACTGTAATGCTATAAGCAATAGCTGGGTATGGGGGATGGATAGGAATAGTTGCTTTCTTTTTCACTCTTTGACCTTGTTGTTGTTGAGTGCTATTAAGCCAGTTCTGACTCATAGCAATCCTGTATAGGATTTCCAAGGAGCACCTGATGGATTTGAACTGGCAACTTCATGGCTAGCGGTCTAGTGCATT